CTGAGGAGAGGGAGTCGGTAAGGATGCAGAGCTTTGCTGGTGGGTTGTCTGCCGCTGTTTCGATGGCTTTTAGGATGCCCACCAGCTCCGCTGTGTATACCGCTGTGTCGTCTGGGAGTCGGTAGCATTTCTCGACCATTCTGCTAGGGCACACTATCCCTGCGCCAGTCTCCCCGTTCTGGTTTTTGGAGCCGTCTGAATAGATGGCCAGGGCTCCGGCTGTCAGAGTATTAATGTAATCTTCAGCTATCCTCCTTGCTTCGTCTGCTTCAGTGGTTTTTGTTACGAGTTTGGAGAGGCTGGTGTCCGTTGTGGGGAGTTTGAATTCCCAAGGGGGGTGGGTTGGGGAATGTTTCCTGAGGCTAGTGATAGCATTGGCTACCTCCTCTCTTTCACACTCCCTGGCGGTAATCCATGCTGTCGGACGTCTGAATTTCTGGATGGGCTTGGTTTTGCTCTCCCATGGGTATCTATTGGGCTGGAGAGCGCGGGTAGCTGGGTGATCGGGTTGCTGGCCTGTGCTCATCCAATAATTGTAGGTCAATTGTTTTCTTCTCAGATTCAGGGGGAGGATGCCTAACGCGACTTCCATGGCCTCCCTACTTGTGCTTCTTCCTGTGCCTAAGATTGTGGCTAATGCTTGGCTTTGGATGCTGTCTAGTTTGAGTAGGGAGTTAGGGTTCGCTGCGCCGTAGACTATCGACCCGTGGTCCATATTCCCCCTGATGAAGGCTTTGTAGAACATTACCATTGTTTTGGTATGGGCGCCCCACCCCGACCCTTTTATAATTTTGAGCATGTTGCACTGTAGTTTGCATCGTGCTGCTGTCTGTATCACGTGATCTCGCCAGCTGAGCTGTTGGTCGAGGACCATACCCAGGAATCTGGTACTGGTTTTTCTAACAATGGTGTTCCCACTGATTGTGATCCGACAGTCATGGGGATCGTACCAACGGGTGTGTTTGTTGTTAAATATCATCATCACAGATTTTTGTGTGTTGATGCTGAATCCCCACTTCCTCATCCAGTTGGAGATGTGGTTTATCTCTTTTTGTAGCATGTCGCGGGTGGTTGTTAATACTTGGTTGCTGCACCACAGCGAGCAGTCATCTGCGAACTGCGATATCTCAACCTCTGAGTTCGTGATAGCCTTGCTCATGTCGTTAACAAGGATGTTAAAGATCAAAGGGGAGATAACCGACCCCTGGGGGGTACCATTCTCCTGTGTGTGCGGTCTAGATTCCTCTTTCCTCACAGCCACCGAGAATGTTCTGTCTTGAAGGAAGCTCCTCACGTACTGGAGAGTTCGACCTGTGATGCCGATTCTGTGGAGTTTAACTATCGCTGCCTCCCTCCAGCATTGGTCGTACGCTTGGGCTAGATCTAGGAACACAGCGAATGTTTTATTCCCGCGTCGGAACCCTCTTTTCACGTGGTCCTCCAGTTTGATTATCTGATCCATGGTGGATCTTTCGGCTCTAAAGCCCGATTGGGTGACACTGAACAGTTTGTTTTTTACCATGTGAAATGATATTCTGTTGTTAACAATCGTTTCCAGTGTCTTTCCCAGGTGGGAAGTGAGTGAGATGGGGCGGTATGAGTCGATCCTTTGGGGGTCCTTGCCTTGTTTAAGGATTGGGACGACCGTCGCCTGTTTCCACACTTTAGGTATTTCGCCACTTCGCCACACTAGGTTAAACAGGTTGGTTAGTGCGGTGACTGTTGCTTTCGGCAGCATCTTGAGTATGGCATAGTTAAGGATGTCTGGGCCGGCCGCTGTGTTTGTTTTGTCCTGAATCGCGGAGACGACTTCGTCTACCGTGATGTCTTTGTCGAGGTAGTGGGGTTCGCTGCCGGCGTTAGGGGGTAGATCTCGCACTTCTTTGACCTGGCTTCTTCTTTCTAGTTCTGCCCTTCCTATTCTACTAGGCATTCTCTTTTTTGGAAGAAAAACGTTAATGCAAGACAAGCCAGACTCCCTCCCCGATAGCAAACGAGTCTAAACAAATCTATGCATGGAACGTAGTTCAGCTGGGGAGATTATCGTGGATCTCACCCAACTTTTTGCTACCTTTTTTTAAGATTGCTCTGTAAATGCCTATATCTTTGTGGCTTATCGAGTTCAATCCCCGGTAAGGGCTGGGATTTTTTCACTTTGACTTGGACTTCTAGTAATTCCCCCTGGTCTCTGGGTAGTTCGATCGGACGCCTGTGTGCATTGTTACGCAGGTAAAAAAATTGCTTGGCGGTTGGAATTAAAAGAGAAGCCTAACGGAGCTGCCCGGGCAAAATTTGGAGTTGAAAATCTACCCAAAGTATTTCCGGATTCTCGCCGGTGCTACAGAGCTGTTGCACTGTGCTGAGCTTCTTTGGACTCAGACGAGTTGGAAGAAGAACGGAGCACTTACGGGTTACTACCAGTGTGCCATGATGTTGATCCGTTGTTCAAAACTTCAAACCTCAAACCTCGAATGCTTTGTGTTGATTTCCACAACAGTATTGAGAGCCAGCCACTGAGTTGCAAAAACAGACTACTGAACGTTATTTCATAGGAAAAAAATCATTAAAAAAATTAGCTGCAAAGTCCTTTAAAGGATACGCAGCTAACTGGCATGAACGCATGATGCGTTGCATTTGAGTCACTTCGTTCAAACAAATCATAAAGCGAGCTGTATTTAATTTAAAGTACGTTGCAAACGAAAACAGCTTTGATTGGCTCTTGAGTGGTTTTGCTATGCGAATTTGCTTTACCATTGTATGTCCATTTTGTTTTGAAAAAAGGTTTTTCATAGGCAGGTGTGTCGGTTCCAACAATAATATTTACTAGGCTACAATGGTTTGGGCAAATAAAACGAACGAACAAATTAAAAATTGGGATCTCAGTCCCGTCTAAATGTCGGACTTTCTTACCCCACCACTCTCACGCATCATTTCATTTACACAACTTTCAACAGTCTATCCAAACATCTTCGAAAACAACTAAATATAATTACAAACGCTGGAAGCTATTGGAAATATGGCTACATTTCTAAGCAACAACAAATGATGTGAAATATAAGGAGTCTATGGTAAACATGAAATGTAGGATTTCTTATAATTGAAATAGACAGTAAAGTCCATACACTGAAATACTAATTCAACCGTAGGGTGTCTGGAAGATACTCGACATTGTAGGGAAAATAGAGGCGGATTTTTAATCAGGTTGTGACTGGAGCTATTAACTTGTGAACTCTTGGTTGGCTACTGAAGTAGGGGACGGAGCACGTGTGAGAATATCCCGTGTGCAGTGATGTCAATTCTAGATTAGTTCATTCACATAGAGTGGCAGACAAGACACATACACACAAACATGCATACACAACACAGGGAGGGAGAGAGGGGGGAGAGGGGAGAGAGAGAGGAAGAGAGAGAGGAAGAGAGAGAGGAAGAGAGAGAGGGAGATATAGAGAGAGGGAGGGGGAGAGAGAGGGGGAGAGAGAGAGGGAGGGAGAGGGGGAGAGAAAGGGAGAGAGAGAGGGAGATAGAGAGAGAGAAAGGGAAAGAGGAAAGGAATGAGAGAGAGGGAGAGAGAGAGGGGGGAGAGAGAGAGAGGAGAGAGAGAGAGTGAGAGAGAGAGAGAGAGGGAGAGAGAGAGGGAGAGAGAGAGGGAGGGAGATAGATAGATAGAGAGAGAAAGGGAGAGAGAGAGAGGGAGAGAGAGAGAGAGAGAGAGAGAGAGAGAGAGAGAGAGAGAGAGAGAGAGAGAGAGATGAAAACTGGGAAACAATATTGTAGAGCTGACTGAAAGTTGACCACGTAGTAGACTAAGAAGACAGCGAGACAGAATGTTCAGACAGACCTACAAACACTTGTCGACCCAATCTAAAAAGTGAAGCCAAATCACAGAGAAGAATAGAGCCGGCTAATACCTGCTGCAATCAAAACAAAAGGGCTCCGAATGAAGAAGAAAAAGACATTATTTGCCATTGCTTTCTAAACGTTTGGGTGCTGCTGCTTGGCTCGACGATACCATGAAACAGTCTGCTGACAATGTTTAAAAAAATATATATATAAAAAAAGTAAAGATCCCTTTTTATGCATTGGGCGCATCAGGTATATGGGAGGAGCACCCAATATTTTTGCAGACCAATCAGCACTAGGTGGGTTATGTGCTGAGCATTACACAGGCAGTCTTTACTTCCCCAGGACATACATCCTGCCACCCATTTTAGGCTGGGTCGACCTGCGACGCCTTATACGATAATAAAAGTTCACGCAGCCAGCAATGGGTTTTGATCACGGTACGTTACAATTACGAGTCAAACTCGCAACACCTAGGCAACGGACGCCATCTACTGACAATAAGTAAAGTAAAGTAGAAGTAAAGATCCCTTTTTACGCCTCGGGCATATGGGAAGAGTACCCAAATTTTTACAGACCAATCGGCACTAGGTGGATAATGTAGTCAGCATTACGCCGGCCGTCTTTACTTCCTAAGGACATACATCCTGGTATCCATTTAAGGCTGGCTCGACCCCATACTATGATAAAAATCTACGCAGCCAGCAGTGGGTTTAGATCGCGGTACGTTAAAATTACGAGTCGGACCCCCAACGCCTAAGCCGCGGACTGACAACAACCAGCAGCTAAATCGGCCAGGATATACCGGAGTTATAAAGCAGTATTAGTAAGCTCTTAACCTTGACTTCTAGGTTGACCCAGCCTTGATTGGGTGCCAGGTTCAGTCCTGGGAAGTAAAGGAGGTAGGCGTGATGCTGACCCTATCACCCATCATGTGCTGTTAGTCCATAAAATATAGGTCTAGCCCTATATACCCAATACGTCTGAAATGCGTGGAAAGGGTACTTTACTTTACTTATTAGTAAGCTCTGGGCCATAGTTGTCGGGGCGTTGATTCGTATATTAATCAAATTCTCAATTTTGTATTTGTCTTAGCAAAGGCTTACACTAGTGAGCTTGCCGATGATAGACTGCACGAGTAGAGGAAAGCTAATTGGTCTATGCAGTTTGTGACTATCTGTATGGCAGGACTTCCAGCGCAGATCATGATTCAGCTGTTTGTCTACAAGTACTGCTTCTCTGAAGGTAAGCTTGTTTCAGTCAGTCAAACAATCTGGTGCCGTCTCTACAATGAAGGATATATGCAGTGGATATTTAAAACACTGGTTTTTTTTTTAATTAGTGCGTTCTCTCAGACCGCTGTTCGTCTATTTCTTGATGTTATCGTCCCACTTGTATTGTTTTCTACCTCTTATTCTCTCGTCGTTAAAGTTTCTCTGAGTTGTTAAAAATGTTTTTAAGAGTTTTTTTTTTTGTGTTGGTTGCTTGTTGACTATTTTATGATATAATCGTGGGCATCTGTGGCTTAGGCGTTGCGAACGCGCTTTGTAATACTGTAATGGCTGGTTCGATCCCAGCTGCGGGCAGTTGTTCGCCTTGCGTTAGTTTCGACAGTGGTACCGAGAGCTGACCGTTCATAGGCAATGACAAACTACTGAATGTAACATTTACCTTGAAAACCCACAACAGTCATTAAATGTTGGAGTTGGTTTTGCAACGTCCTGTAAAGGATACGCAACTAACTGTTGTGATGTTATCACAAGCTACACCGCATGCGAGCTCAGAGTTCCGATTCAGCTGCCAGTCCACATTAGAAATTGGTTATAGTGTCTTCTGTCATATCCTGGAAGACGGCATAGACGCGATACACTAAGCTTTTTCCCCCAGGTCGAGCAGTCGGGTTAGCATCAGCGGTTTATCATTATTCTCCCGCCTAGTCTGTAAAGCGTTGACGATATCAGCTCGGCCCATACTTTTTCTCATTTCCATTAGTGCACTACTTGCCATCTGGTCGGCTCTTTCATTACCTTTTACTCCTGTATGCCCGAGTGCGTGGATCCAGATGATAAAGATTAACTGCAACTTCCGAAGGCTTTCTACTCACTCAGAGCGTAAACCTTCTTATTATACTATCTTAAGATGCTGTACAGTTTGACAAAATGGCTGGAAGATCATCTCTGTCAGAGCTGAATGAAAATACACAAGACAGAAGGCTGTAGATAGACATGACTACCAACACCACACAGCATGGACATAAAAAAGAAGATTATGCTTATGCCTGAAACTAGTCGGACATCGGAGATTTGTTCTCAACTTTTTTTTTCCGGCAATAATCAACTCCTCATGCTTTTCTTGGTATATGGCGTATATGTTGAGATGACAAGGGTAGATGGGGTCGCCTAGTGGCTAGACACTCGCCTACTGACCCGAAGGTCTTGGGTTCGAATCAGCACTTGGCGGATTTAGCCAACAAATGATGACTTTGCCTACTAACCCCAGCCAACCTAAAAGGAAAGCAAAGTAAAGGACCCTTTTCCCCGCCCTTAGGCGTATAGGGCATATAGGGCTAGACTTATATTTTATAGACCAATCAGCAAAAGATGTGTGATGTGGTCATCATCAGGCTGGCAGACTTTACTTCCCGGGACTGCAGCCGGTACCCGCTTAAGGCTGGGTCGACCTGGGAGCCAAGGTCATTTTTGAAAGAAAAAAAAAATCCGTCTCCGCCAGGGAGCGAACCCATGACCTTTCGATCTGCGGCAAGAGTCTAGCCGCTCCGCCACGGTGAATACCTAAAATGGGTACCGGGAAATGCCAGGGAGTGTAAAAAGTGGCGAGTATGTTAGCGATTTAACCAGTGGAATCGACCATGTAAAGGTTAATGTAAAGTCGGCAGATGTGAACCAGCGTCATTGCACACGGTTTCAAACGATAAATGCTCTGCCACCAGTACAGTCAGCTAATAAGGATCTGTCAGCCGGTGTCGCCGTCCGCACGCAACTTCGTAGATACAGCGACGTTCTTTCATTTACGCCAGAGGCTGGGTGAACATCGGAAACCGTCCGGTTTCGAACACCGGCTGGATTTGAAAGCGAGTCTCCTATCGACTGCGCTAACATAGAGTTGCAATGTGGAACACAGTGGGACACGTAAGACATACAGTAGTATGTTGTATTCACTCCACGGACGGTGACCACGAAAATAGGAACGGTAATATTTTCATAAAATGCACTAATTACAAATGCACCGGGTACTTGAAAACGTACTCTTCTTTTTACTGTTGGTAGATTACGTGCCACCAACAATTCAGTATCCCAGCAAAAGGCAAGATCTGTATTATCACGCAGGCTCTCCTATCAGTCTCACATGTCTGGCTTATGGGTGGCCTCAACCAACGTAAGTAAGGATCACCTCGACTGACGACCAATTTCTGTTCCGTCTATCAGGTCGTAAGTCGAACCAGTCGTTTGCTAAATGTATATTTTAAAACATTATTATTTCCGTTCAAAATGGGGACATAAATACAAAATGAAATTTCAGTTACATATAATTAGACCGTGATGCGATCCAGGCATCGTTTCAGACTAATATTAGACCATTCAAATGTAATTGTGTTTCTTTGTTTCTTTTTTTGTTTAATTTTTCAGTAGCTGCTTGCTGATTTATCACCCTGTTTTTCACTAAATTGCACAATATATTGACGTGCATCTTCATTCATTCATTATTATCAGTGAATAGAACAAACAGTAAACATCCCCAAGACCCCATCAACAGACTCAACAGAAAACAATATACAATTATTTCCCGTGTAAAAGCCGGACGTAGCTACAACAGTCATAAAAGAAAGTTTGTACAGTCCCCACAGTGTGCATGTAGACGGGACCACCACCCACTGAGCACATTCTGCAGGCCTGCCCACTATACCTACAGCTACGAAGAGACACTTAGCCGCAAGAACAAAGTGCAGAGCAAGCTATGATGAGCCCTAAAGGGTCTGCAACTCATAGTGCAAATTCAGAGGCATCCCACTTAGCTATTTCATTTGAGCATATGAAACCATCGAAAAAAAATTTTTTTTTCCACCTTTAATAACTATGCGGGTTGTTGTTATCAATGGTGATAGTAGTAAAATCATTCGGACGCATTTTTAATACCCATGATATGTGATTATCCAACAGGTTCAGGTGGACGTTAAATGGAACAGACATTGTGCAGAGTCGCTTTATCCATTTCGATTCAGTTTCTGGAGTGCTGTCGTTTTCTCAGTTTTCATGGAAGGAAGAAGGTGCCTTCAGGTGCATTGCTACTAACGAGTTCATAGACAACAGCTCAGAGATTCTCGAATTATCAAGCATGTCTCCAATCATTAATTTATGGCAGATTTGTAAGCTGTGTGTCTTATGTAAAACGTTGTTGTCTAACTCCTTAAGCAACAAGTGACGCGCTATGCGTTGACTTTTATAAAGAGTTTTTTTTTCTGAATTCTCTGTGGCTTATACTCGAACTAGGCAGCTGTGGTGATGTAGCGGCTAGATGCTTGCCCGCGGATCGGAAGGTCGGGAGTTCGAGTCTTGACAGAGCCAGACTTTTTATTTTTAATTTTTTCTTTCAATTTAAAAAAACGAATTGGCTTCCAAGTCAACCACATTTACATGAGTACCAGGTAAAGTCCTGGGAACTAAAGGCGGCTTGTGCGATACCGACCATATCACCCAGGAAGTAGTGGTTTTTTTTATAGCATATTGGCCAAGCATTATATGCACAATAAGCCTGAAGGAGTTCAAGAAAGTCCTTTTCTCCAGCTATTACATTCTTTCACTCCATAATTCTTTGACTATAATTGTAACCATAATTCCTCGAACTTTTCCGGCCCCACTGTGCTACTACTTTAGAACCGCCGACCCGGATATTGGCTTCCTAATTAATGTCACAAGTTCTTAGAGTACAGAAAGTTAAAGTGACACCTTTCATGTGCCGTGATGTTACGACTGGATGATTAGATGCATACATGTTATAATGTATACAAAAAGCTAGTCATCGGCTACCAGGTCGTTCATTGGCTGGCCGGTAGACGACTTCGTCGCCGGTCAGGACAGTATTTTGGTCTGTCTCCCGTGATCGCATTAGCACTGCTGGAGTCTTTTTGAGAGTCACAATTATAATCGAAAGTTCCTCCCTTTAGGGATGCTGGTTAAAGGCGACTTTTTTGTTTGAAGCAAAAAAGTGAGTTCAGAAGAAAAAAAATTTGTAGGGAAACCCTACATGCCCAATTCTCATGCCATTAAAAAAAAAAGATTTCTATCTTATTTAATTTTAAAAATATTGACGGTTTGATGTTTTGAAGAACGGATTAATATCATGGCACACGGCCTGATTCCAAAGAAGCTCAGCACAGTGCACAGGCTCTGTAGCTCCTGCGATGATCCTGAGATACTTTGAGTAGATTTTTAACTCAGAATGTTTCTCGGGCAGCGCCGTTAGGCTACTCTTTTCAATTTCCAACTGCCAATGGATTATTTAAGTCCGCAACAATGCACACGGGCGTCCGATCTCACTACCCTGAGACCACAGGGAATTACAAAAATTCCCAGCCCTTTTCGGTGACTGAACCCGGAACCTCTAGCACTCTTGGCGGACACCGTGCCTGGAGACCACGCAGCTAACTGAAAATATTAGAAAAGGACGCATTGAATTTCAGCTTCTGTCTTTGCCAAGATACGGTCTATGTTAAATGTCGGGGTCTATGTTAAATGTCGCGGTCTATGTTAAATGTCGGGGTCTACGTTAAATGTCGCTGTCTATGTTAAATGTCGCGGTCTATGTTTAATGTCGGGGTCTATGTTAAATATCGCGGTCTATGTAAAATGTCGCGGTCTATGTTAAATATCGCGGTCTATGTAAAATGTCGCGGTCTATGTTAAATATCGCGGTGTATGTTAAATGTCGCGGTCTGTGTTAAATGTCGCGGACTGTGTTAAATGTCGCGATCTATGTTAATTGTCGCAAGCGACATACTTTTTAGGGCGACAGGGAGTCTATTCTTATGTCCCCTCCCACCGCACACACACTTGGACAGAACCCACGCGAGGTATACACCTCAGCACATTATTATTTTTTAAAACTAGGATACATATCTTAATCTTAAACGTCCCTGATTTTACAAAATGTGCAAAGCCCCCTCCCCCCCCCCCCCCCCCCCCCCTCTCTCTCTCTCTCTCTTTACGGCACCCAATTTGTTATATGACGATCCCTTTACCATAAAGTTGAAACTGTGACACACTGAATCAGGGTGTCGTTGCACAAACAGAAACCGGTTGTGGGAGACCTCTAGATGCGGACATGCATTATCTACCACGCCAGTCGGCGGAGCATTTTATGATGGTGAAGATAACGCTCAAACAAGAATTAGTTCACGTAAAAAAACACACACACACACTCTCCTTTATGTTGCAGCCGTGAAGCAGTTTGATTCCAGTCCTAAACATGTAATAGTTCAAGAATACGACTATGTAAAACTGCCGTGCAGTCAAGCGACAGCTGTGAGAGCAAAGGAGAAAACATATGAGTGGCAAGACACCAGAACCCGACAGAAAGTAAGCATGGACGGCGATCGCCTGTTTATTGATCAGAATGGTAGGTTGCATCATCATCTTTCTTATCATTATCATCATAATCAAAATCATCATCATCATAACCATCATCATCATCAGAATCATCATCATCGTGTTTGTATTTATGATCGTGATCATAATTATTATCATCAACATTATCATCACCACCACACTCATCATCATAACCATCATCATCATCAAAATCCTCATTATCATCATCAAAATCATCATCATAGTGTTAGTATTTATCATCATCGTCATCATTGTCATCATTATCATCACCACCACACTCATCATGATAATCATCATCAAAATCTTCACCATCATCGTAATAATTATCAAAATTATCAGCTTTATCCTCCTCTTCATCATTATCATGAAAATCATCATTATAATCATCATTATCAAAGTCATCATCCTCTTCATCATCTGCCGATGTGAGTATGTAGTCGTGTTTCGTCATCCAACACGATCACAAGAATCAGGGATCAGCACGCTGTTCTTTCACGCCCCATCAGCGAGGCCAAGCCACCTAGGATTCTACCTCTTTACTTTCCCGTTCTATTCTCCACATCAGCCTTGTCAGTCGTCACCAAGTTCCCACTTCCACTTCCCACAATATTACCACAACTTGGTGCTCATGGTTCTCTCGAACGGACTAATCAGGGAGCACCTATTTAAAATCTGAACTGATGTCATCATTATCATAATCAATTTACATCTTTACCGTTTAGTCAGGTTGCAGCTGCTATCACCTTCATATCCGTTGAACCCAAAAGAGGTTTCATCCGCATAATCCGTCGAAGCGATTACATGCAGGCTCTGTGAAGAGCTTCGAGCAAGGCAGCGCACTTAAGACGCCTTGGTCATCCACTGTACCTTAATCCACTTCCAATCATCTGGACATTGTCCTTCCATTGTATTAGGATGGAAGCATGCCAGAGAGTGATGTGGACGAATTGCGCAACACTTCCTTGCTTAAACCCTTGCAAGTCCCTTTTATCCAGCGGCTATCGTCGCCATAGGAACTTATCTTTGCCTGTTAAGGACGAGAATGGAGGACCTACTGGAATGCCCAGAGTGCGGCGATCTCACTTCGTTGATTGGTTAATTTGATTAGATTTATTCAATACCTGTATGTTGTCCCTGTTTATTTCCGGCAATTTGTATTGATTCATTCATTGCCTGTATGTTTTCCTAGTGTATTTCCCATGCAATTTGCATTGATTCATTCATTGCCTGTATGTTTTCCTAGTGTATTTCCCAGGCAATTTGCATTGATTCATTCATTATCTGTATGTTTTCCCTGTGTATTTCCCAGGCAATTTGCACTTCACGTATGTCCTTTTGGCTGATGGGGCTCAGGATGGCTATTCTTGTGCTATCTTCGTGCCTCCAGCTCAACAGATCTCTCAAGGCTCGAAGATTGTACTCATTGTTGACGCTGTTTGTAAGTATGTACAATTTTGTATAAAGATTGAATACACTATGTCTCGTTGTAGTGCGTATAATTATATGTTTTAGGAATACTGCATGCATTGTGTCTTATTGTAGTATGGTGTGTTGGGATATGAGCAGGCCGATAGACCATCCGGTTATGCACCACTTGTTGGTGAATTGATGTGTGACAGGCTACATGCTGTGCGAGCCCTTTGAGAGGGAGTGAATAGTGCTGAGGTACAAATAAATCATTACGGTCTGAGGAGAATGGCGCTGCGGAAAGTTACCAAGAGATCTGGCCGACGCTCAACACTCAGGGGAAGGCGAGACGGATGTACAGCCAGAGAGCTACTAGTGCCATCGGAACTTGAATTTTTCGCCTGCTGCTGAAGATGGGGTGTCCCATAAGTCGATTCTTCAGTCAACTTTCAACATTAATGGTGAAATGTTCAGTAATATGCTCTACGAAGAATCTTTTCAAGTTGCTCATTGTAGTATGTTTAACAATAGGCTGCATACTCTGTGTCTCAATGTAGTATGTTTCATAATAGGCTGCATACTCTGTGTCTCAATGTAGTATGTTTCATAATAGGCTGCATACTCTGTGTCTCAATGTAGTATGTTTCATAATAGGCTGCATACTATGTGTCTCAATGTAGTATGTTTAACAATAGGCTGCACACTCTGTGTCTCAATGTAGTATGTTTCATAATAGGCTGCATACTCTGTGTCTCAATGTAGTATGTTTCATAATAGGCTGCATACTCTGTGTCTCAATGTAGTATGTTTAACAATAGGCTGCATACTCTGTGTCTCAATGTAGTATGTTTAACAATAGGCTGCATACTCTGTGTCTCAATGTAGCATGTTTAACAATAGGCTGCATACTCTGTGTCTCAATGTAGCATGTTTAACAATAGGCTGCATACTCTGTGTCTCAATGTAGTATGTTTAACAATAGGCTGTTTTCAATGTATTGTGATTAAAAATTTGTTGTACTAAAACGGTACTTTATGTATGTCTTGCAGTAGTATGCTGTACGAAGATTGAAATCGCATATAGTAATATGCTATAGGAAGATTGTTCTCACCATTTACTCTAATAATAAGGAT